GCACATCTAATTGACCTTGCGCTTATAAATGACCAAAACGGCGGCTGTCAACGCCAATAATGTGTACTATCAGAAAGACTACGCGCGTCCTCATCTCGTCGCCAATGAGCTATGAGGGTTTATACATTCAAAAAAGCCTTCATTAACACTCGGGAAATGATCGCAAAGCTGTCGGTGACAGCCGGCCGGCCTATGCCGAAAATTCACCCGCACTGCCATTATCCCTCGTATCTAACTCTCTTTCGGTCAATCATTTCGTCATTAGCACCCCCCCGCTACTCGATTGAACGATTGCCCATCGTCGATGATGACCCATCCTAGACACAGCGTACAGTTTGACCAGCCGCAACGGCGACCATCGACTACCAACATCGGAAAACCTTGATAAATGCCCGGAATTAATATCGCTGATGATTAATGAAACGGCTGCTGGACGATCCAGGAACTGGCTGCAGTTATAGATTATCGGGCCACGACCCGGACAACATTACATTCAGTACTTTCGGTCGAAAATCAATTTACCAGTGTTCCTATTTCGTTTATAAAATTCTCTCACTGCTCAAATGACGAATCGAACGGTTCTATTATTGCCACGCGCTTTGTCAACTCTTCGACTGCAAACAAGAATGATGCAGTCGAAGTTTCGGAACAATTACGCGGATTGTTTCAGGTGCTCAGATCACCCGTTTAGGAAATACTCTCAATGCGTAGGCTGCCAGCCGTTATATTGTTTTCATTTAGAAGCCATAACTGAATTCATTACATACCGACGTTAAATAGATTAACGGAATCAAGCGGTCACAGACGTTGCTGGAACAAAGAGGGATCAAAGGTGGTATTCAATAGAACAGACGTATGTATACCTACATACATATCTATGTATATATGATTAAAATCCGACTATTATGATTTCTTGCTTTATTACATATCTCTCTAGATGTATTAAAAAATCGTTGCAGGTTTGGAATTTCCTGTTAATTTAAAAAATATAATTAAAGTCCTTTCTTGCTTATAAGACATAGGAAATAAGTGTTTTCTTTTTTTCCATCTCGCTATAATATAAGGGACGTTCCAGCCGGTGCAGCTAGACCCGATTTTTTTTTCTTCTTCGGTGGTGTCAAACTACCGAATGTTCTTTGTAATGGCTTACTTTCAGCCGCTACTAAGCACATTCACAGATGGCTCCGACTTACTTACATCGGATAACCGTATGAGCCAACTGACGTTTATCGTTCCGAGGATTTTTACACCGGAGAGAAGCGCGAATTGATAAAATTTGATACCGAATTTCGATAACCACAAAACAATTAGTTTCCGATAATTGAAGTCCGCCGCGCTTATTACGCAATTAAATTCGAAAATGATCTTCTGAAATTTTTTTGGCGAAAATTGATCTCGGGCTACAGATTTTCGAAACGCAACTCGACGTTCAAACTTTTAATTTACGTGGATAGAAGTTTTTTTCATTCATAAATTCTGCTCTGTTTGTGTAGTGATTTTTTTGTTTGTGGGAATTAAAACTAGCGAGTCGAGTTTCATTAATTTAATTTAAAAATCCTGTTACTAAAATTCCTGAGGTAACAAACCGTTATTAAATTCGCCGTGAATGTATTCTTTAAGTTTTCTTGTTTACAGGTAATTTATTTTGGAAACGTCACTATAAATTGCGGGATATAATTTGTTGAATTTTTACCTGCATTTCTTTTTCTACAAGTAGCAGTCACTGAAAAATATATCTAAAAATATCTACAGAAAATATTAGTAGACTCTTCATTTATCTAATTCATCCGAAAAAAAAAATTAAGGAATGTGGATATATCCAAAAAATATGTTTCATTTCATTTCGTAAAAATATCTTGAGGTACTAGGAGTTGGTTGTTTTGGCGACAATTTAATTTCCCATTAACTAATTGGTGAGAATTTCGGTAGCAGCGGAATGAATGGCTCCTTAGGCTGAGCCGGTGGAGGATATAAAAGTGAGGAATCCCGCTATGAAGATTAATTCGAATTGAGTAAACGGAGAGCCGTAGCCGATCGGGTCGAGGAACATAGACGGAATTAGAGAGGGCGACGGCTGTTGCCGCGAGATGTCGAATTAAAACCGCTACAAGGAACAGAAAACAGAGCAGAACAGCCAGCCCAACAAAAGAGATAAAGCGCCATCTCCCTTGAGATTGAGTTGATGAGTACCTCCCGCGCAGCTTTTAACTACTCGGCACCCCATCGAGCGCGGTTACTTCTGGGTAACAATACACTCCTGACTTATAAATGTCACTGAAGGGATTGTATAAATTGATGTCTGAGAACAGTGGAATTAATTTTAGTCGCCCGTTCGGAAATTTGCCAAATACCATTTTGGGATTGCGAACGGGACCCGCTAGTGCGTTCCGCCTACTCATTACATAATCCACTTGCTCCAGTCCAGAGCTATTAAAGAGGCTCTTCCTGATATTAGCGTTCGCATAAACGAATTCATATTTTTTTAAACCCCTACTGGGGTGCGTTCAGACTATACAGATTGCGCTATTTTGATGGCTCGGTGTTCTTTGTTTTGAAAATGGCCGGAGAGTTACTGAGAAATTCATCGCACAAATCGCTGAGTTGGTTTATTTTCGGTTTTGACGTTGGTTAAAGCCGAGTGATTAAATGTAGTGCCTTGAACAATGTTCGTATTCAAAGTGACCAAATTGACGCCTTTCTGATTCACTAAATAAACGAGCAGTAACGGAGAGGAGTTCGTAATGGAAATTTTGACTTTCGAGTAGGTACTTAACAAAGTTTGATTTTACCTATTCATCCTTGGGAATAAATCATTTTGTCTCAAATACGTTGAATTATTTGCTCTTTCATGTATTAATAATACACAAAATTTACAATTTTATTAATCCCAAAACGAGTTTATGATACTAAAAGTTTCAGTAACCTAGAAAGCTCCAATCGAGACACTATCCGATTAAAATTATTTACCAAGCTTTTATTTTATTCAAAGGGCTATTTATTATCCAACAACTAGTTGTTTCCAATTTAGCCAATTTGGATTTGAACTACTTACGCAATTTTCAACAAACTGTCGAATGCCAAACGTCAAAAAATGAAAATCGTATTGATTCGACGGGGATGGACGCATTTCAATAATAAAAACATTTATTATTTTGCCGCGTGTTTCAAATGGAAGATTTATTTCATTCGCGATTCTCGCAAAGATAATTTTTTAATTTGACTGGTATCCATTTGGACCATTCAAAAGTGCTGTTCCTGAATGAGTGAACTTTATCTCGATTTAGAAAGCTATTGCGAATTCCAACCCCTACAGCCCTAGCCGGCAACACCGACGCAGCCATTGCTCGGCGCTCTCTCTCTTTCCACAGCGACGTATCAGCTTTTTTTCTCCTTTTTTTTCCCTCGAATTAATTTAGAACTTTTACGGTTTTCTATCTCTAATAAATTTTGTACGAAATTTTTCAATCCCGAAATTTATTGTGAATAACTAAATGATGTTTAAAGTATGTTCGTCGGTTTCGAGAGGAAATCAATTTTATTTTTTTTGTTCAAATAAATTAAACATATTGTCCTATTTTTTATGAAGCGCCTTAATGAAGTGCAATTTTGTTCGTTATGTTTATATGAACCAAATAGATAAATGGAATCAAATAACACTCAATGGCTGCGTTAGCCGGGTTTTTCGAGAAATAAAACGAAACATTAATGGTATAAATTTTATCTAAAGCTTCATAGATTCTATCTTCTCATTATTGCACGTAACATATATAAAAGTTTTCCCAATAAAGTTTTCTTAGTGCTAAACTTTTCCATTTACATGCAATTTACTTCTCTCTACACCCTCGTACATTCAACAGTACAGGACCGAACTCTGGAAATTACCTGTGTCTTTTTGTAAGGAACTATTTAACATTGTACGTGCCTGTTTCTACAGATTTAATTAATATTCCTTACAGCGCGATATTAAAACAAATTTTTTGCTTCAATGCATTCATTTTGAATACTCCAACTATTTGATAATAATAATTCGTCGAAAACAATATTCATGTGGAATTCAGCAAACAGAGATTTACATAAATGAAGTCGCAGGAGCTTATTCGAATTAATTCATCAGGGTGGCATTTCAACAACGGTGTAAAAAACTTCTATCGTTTTTGTAATACATTCGCTTGTTACACAAAGGTATAATTTTTTAGGGTGTAATTCGGGTCAAATGCGTTAAAATTTATTAACTGGTGGTGTGGCGAAAATGATAAACGTTTTTCATGTATTTTTAAAGGATTATTTTAACAAATGATGTGGCTCAGTAGGTGGTAAAATAACAACCTAATATGGTACATAACGAAATTTTATACCGCGTTCTCGGGAAATAAATTGTAGGCAGCCGCCGGTCCAGTCGTTAATTACTTCAGCATCATTTGGATCAGATATCGGAAAATAACTCTGAAATTAGATTTTTTTTATATGAATGAGTTCCTTTGATAAACTCGGATTATGTATTTAAATTCAATTCTAAAAATAACTTTCAATATTTCATATTTACTCGCGATTCAAGGCGTGCAAGGTTTAGGAAATCAAATATTTCAAATTACTTTTGTTAAAAATCTTCATTGTAGTGAACAAGTTAATTTGTCAATTTGCAAAATAATCGAACCATTTTAATTGTACGCATTTGAGTATTGTAGGAAATCCGTTTGAATTTCATTTTAAACTGGCATAACATCCGAACATGTGTAATGCTATCATCCGAAAGTTCTGCAGAATTTACGCGAAGGTTAATAAAATTTCAATTAGAGAATATTGAATTTTTGTTAAACTCACAATATACACGTCTAACCGCAGCTTTTCCCTTTGACTCAATTTTGCTCACAAAAGTATAGACAAGGGAGTCGAAATTACATGGAACAGTTTCTACGACGAAATTAAATATTACATATTTAATTAAATGTAGTTAATTTATTAATGGAATATGCACTACAATATTACGATTTATTTTCCAGGTCAACTTCGATGTTCATGCGTACTGCATTTGCACATAATTTGAGAAGTGGGATTTAGGTAAGTTACTAGTTATTACATAGAAAAGTGATACAGGGCGTTTGATAATTGAATTCGAAGATGCAATTCGTGGAAAATGCCTCTATACATACAAAAGTGTTATTTACGCAAAGGCGAATCTAGTAAACACAAACGAACGAATTGAAAAGAACAATTCATATCGAAAGGGAAGAGAAGGTAGAATAAACTGCCCCCCGAGCTGCCCTTCAACCCTCGCTCAACATCAGCGACCGTTTCAAAAGCTGAGAAGTCGATTAACGTCAGGGAGTAGGGAAGTGAAATAGAGCTTAAATTGCAAGCACATCTAAGTTCCTTGCGAGAATCTTCTACAACTGAGTATTTTACACGACTGTCACCGCACAGAGCCGTTGCAGATGAGAGACCCGCAATTTTCGAATGGAAAATGGGCATAATTTGTTTTATAATGAAAAATGCAACACGTGCTAACACGCGCATAAATTTTTAATTTGCTCTCTTCTAAAAATACAACCGGCGAAAATTCGTTACGATAAATGGTATATTTTCCGCCCTAAATTTTCTCCAACGCGGATTAAAGTTTGATTTTGTCACTTGAGAATACGGGAAAACAGCGGGGATCACTCGTAGAAAACTCGAACATTAATCAGATATTAGCGGTTGCGTGATCGACTTCTGTCCGATCAACACACGCATCCCTCAACATGCACAAAACCAAACGCACTTTGGTTCATTAGTTTCGCTTTGATGTTATTCTTAATTCATAAGGGTAAAAATTCCTCTTTGGAAAGAAACCGTCCGAGACGGCTCGCCAGCGCGATTAAATTTGTGAAATTTTTTCAGAGCTTATCTTCAAACATCACTAACTTTTCATACATGATTTTACGCCCTACCTGGAATTGGGGATAAATTACATTGTAAATTTTATATGCACAAAAAATTTGTAATAAACCAAACAATAATAACAGGCTTAAAATATGGTTGAAAAGCTTCCGAGCTGTGATTTCATTAGTATTGCGTGATTAATAAGAGATGTGTGCTGGTATATCGGCTCATCGTGATACCTATTAGCTAATCCAGGACTTTATGCATGCGTTATCCTCATTAGATTTTCACACCGCCCTTACGTCTGATAAATCGTTTAACAGTCAGTGGAGCGTTTTCGGATTGTTTAGATCTACTTAACACTAAATTGCAATTTGAATATTGCATTTTTATTAAGTTTAATCTGTATTACCATACAGAGTTAAATTTTTTTCTTCGTATTAAAAAAACGAATATTTAATTAAAACAAAATGCGAAAATAAGAAATGATAAAATGAATTTCAATTTTAGCAATTTTCCAAAGATGCCGGGCATTTACTATTGAATACATAATTAAGTAATCCCTTTTTAACGTTATGCTGTTGATTGCTTTCAAGATGTTGAACATCGCATCGCATTTTTCTTGCAGTAAGTAAACAGGCAAAACCAAACGCTAAAACTAATTAATTTCGGTTTAACATCAGTTTAATTATCAACAAATACTTGCGGATAATTAAAGTGAACTTTTTAATTAACCGAGTGGTTTTTGTTAAAGATCTTAGCTTAGACATGTAATTTACTTTCATCGTTAATCTATGAAATTCTGTAATAAAATAATTGATTAAAGAATTCCCTTAGTGGAGTGGTAAGTTTTCTGTTTGTAATCCACCTATGTGAAAATAAGTCTCTCTTTAGCGCTACCATTTATTTTACAACGCCGAAAGTACTTTGAAGCAAATTTGTTTTGAACTTAAAGGAAATATTTATCTTTATGACATGAATAGGCGGAATTGTTGATGTTCTCAGGAAAGCTCCCGAGAAACTAATACATAATAATGAAGTTTTTCGCAAGAAGTAATATTAAGAAACCAGAAAACTTAGCAAATTCGTGTAACTTTTAGAAACCATTATTGTAATTATACGGATAGGAAGAGAAGATTTCAAACATTTGAAACTATCCAGCATTTTAAGATTAATGCCTGGAAGATTACGTTTTAATAATAATTTTAGGAATGGCATAAATGTATAGCAAAAAGGAGCGCTGGTATGTTTTTTATCGTTCATCTCATATTTTTTTATTATGGCAAACTAAGAATAGAGTTACTCAGACATCACTCTCATTATCAAATTACAGAGTATCATTTCTTCGCTGGTAACTTCTATAACAACATAATAATAGTTACAAATTGCTCGGGAAAAGCTTCCTGCTGTTGAAATTCAGAACAAACATAATAAGTTTGTTTTCGGATGGAAGGCTGAACACAACCTGTTGATGACTGAGTAAAACGAATGGTCGCGTCCACTGGGAATTACAATTTAAGACAGTCTCAATTGTTTTCTATGGTTGTTCTCAAGGTCGGTGTAAACGTAAACAATTCACTCTTTCATGTAAAATTTTCGAATTAAAACGAATCCCTGGATATCCTTATACGAAAAATCTAACAAGGTCAATAAAACCACAAAGTATGTGAATATCAAAATGATTATTATCTTCTTCAAATTCAGAGACGTGGCCTTAGGCGGAATGAGCGAATACGATGGAATCCCTATGTAGTAGTATTATGTATTATACGGGGATTGGAAAATGTTACGAGAAGAAAGTTAATATAAGTTTAATTTAATTTCGCTCTACTTTATTACATCCCTTTATTTTTGCTCAAAATATTTTTGTTCGAATTTTAGAAGCAACAGCAATATAATTACAAGTTTTATGAAACATTAATTATCGTTTAGTTCGAAAACACAGCCCTTTTAGTGCTGCTGAAGAAGTTCATTTAGGGAAATTGAGCATATTTCACCCTGTAACATGTACAAAGCGGGTTAAAAGGTAGGGGTTGACAAGGCGCGAGCAGAATGGAGTCTGTTAGAATCGGCTGGAATGTAATATGCGAGTTATACTTTGCTCCGTAAATCTCATTTAGGCTATAAAGACAATATTAACTCTCTGCACTAAGCAGCCAGATAGTATTATAAATGTTTATAATGTATCGTGTGCCAAGAGTGATTGTGGGGTCAACACTAACGGCTGCTCTGCCAGTTAACATTTGCCATGTTTACCGGGTGATAAAACCGCGCTTCACGTTGACTAATACCGTACGAAATTCGAAATAAACGCGATTTATAACTTACCCAAATTTAGCCAAAAAGTTTCGTTTCCGCAATTGCTTCGCGCGAACGCAAACGACTAAACAGTTTTAGCGATAAAATAGTAGGTAACCGAAAACAATAACTAAATTGGAAAGTGAATTTGCGTTTTTCGTTTCCATAACCCGTAGGCATGTCGGAAATGCGCCCCAAAAATATAAGAAAACAAAAGGTGTAATTCCCAAGCAGATCACATGCCACAAAATAAAAATCATAAGCAGAGTATGCGAATAATCCAATTGAATTTTATATCGAGACAAAAAACAGGGTGAAATTTTTATGTAAAAAATAAGACTTACCTACTACCTAAATACATTTCATACACCCAACATGTATATCATAAATCCTATTTACTGAAAATGGACTAAATTTTGCAGTAGATCCTTCAAGATAAATGTAACGTTAGGTTACAATAATTTTCTATTACTATTACGATTTAGACATCAAAGTGAAAAGAAATTTATTCCAAACCAATATATGGCACAAATGTGAGCTTTCGCTCGCAAAAAAAGAAAAACTTTTAGTTTTGCAGGCAACATCCAATTGAATTTTGTTGATTGGAAAATATTGCGTACACGTACTTGCAATTCTTCCAATAAAAACAATTTCAACACATTTTTTATTGAGTGACGATAATATTCATAATATAAATACGGCAATATTGGAAGAAGTATAAAAAGAAATTTGGAATTATCGTCAGAATAAGGAATTGCTTTTTCGAAGTTAACTATATTATGATCCACTCTGTACCGCACAGAAAGGTAATTTATAACTAATTTAAATATCGACAGGAAGGTGATGCCTCAAAAAGATGATATATTCGATATCAGTTTCATAAAATATCGTTTTCTTATCGGTTTCCATATTCTTTGAGTTTACTACATATTTATGTGGAATATGAATAAAGCTCACCTTTTATGGACTGCTAGAATTACATTTTCAAGACGTTCAAGGTTTCGACTTTGTATCAGAGTGTAAAATGAGATCGCCGATAAAGTTTTCTAATTTGCATATCACCTTATTCATGCTTTAGGTAACGTAAACCTACATCTTAATTACGGAGCATAATTTTATTTTCCAATATTTTTTTATCGAGTTTCGTTGCGAAAAGGGAATTTTATTTCGCCCAAAAAAAAACTTCATCTCAATCAAAACCTATGCGAAGGAAATCGATGTCGATATTTAAATTCCATGGATCGTGGCTAAATGTTTATTAATTCGTGCCGAGTCTGACACAGAGAAAACCATCCGGAGCTCTGCGCCTAACATCAATCGACCGATTTCGTTTGAAACACACAGATTCCTAGCCAAAGCCCATAGAGTTTATACATCACTCTAATTAATAAATGGCAGACCCGCGTACATAAGATGATTAAAGCTATCACTCTGTTTACGAGCCTCCCCCCTAGGCGGTACGCTTAGTTATATTCGAATAATGTGCTTTCGTTTCGCCCAACTTTAAGAGTAAAGGTATTTTATTAATTGATATATGGCGGTTCTTTGCTGTAACCTTTCTCACCGAAAATACCGAAATTAATTACCATGAACAAATATGTATTCACTACTCCAGAATGATATAATTCGAAGAAAACAGATCGTTTTGAGATACGTGGAATTTGCAAGGATTGTTTATACATTTAACACCTTCATTTTTGTTAATTGATAAAATGTTGATTGATTAGCAAACGCATATTTTATTGATTAAATAAAGTGTATAAAGTGTGATGATTAATAAGGTTTGGTTGGATGCATTGCGGAATGTAATTCAAGGAATCCATTAAAAATCTTGGTGAAACAAACAATTAAAAGTAGGAATTCAATCTCGAGACGCGCCGAGGGTGT